CAGTGAATCTACCTCCATGCCGACCATAAGCCTTCAGTGGGCTTCCCGTGCAACGTTGACGTCGATCGAGTGTATGCATGTTTCTGTTTTCTCAGCTTGCTTCTGTCCGCAGCAACAAAAATATTCGAACAGAATAAAAGTATCTATCTTGTCAAGGTTTCTTGGAGTACCAGGGTGTGTTAGATGTGCTTGTGCCATCTAATTCGTTTGTTATTCTTCTTCTTCTATGTTGTTCGTGTGTTAGATATGCTTGGGCTTACATCTTCCTTCCTCGCAATCAACTACGATACGATTTCAACAAGGAAAACAAGAGAATCCTAGATAGCTAAGAAGCATGAGTTCTTGGGATGATGCTGCGGTTATTAATTTGCAGTCCTTTAAAAGCATAAGATTCGGAAGAAATAAATAAATTTAATTTAGCACGATATTTATTGTACGAGGAAAAGACAGCGAAAAGTTGAATAAGAAATGATTCCCAGGTATCTTCTTTTTTTTGTTCCAGGAGGAATCCAATTTGTGAATCTGACTTGGTGGTTGTGTCAACCAGAAGCCTTTGAGCTTAGAAGCTGGTATGTTCTCAACCATCCATGGAGATGGAACTGGAAATGTGGCTTCTTGCCATACTTTGAAGAAGACTCGTCGCCAATCCGTAGAACAAGTGGTCGTTGGAACACCGCACACGTTTGTCCGATAATTTTCTTACTCGAGTCGAATCTGAGGGCTGGATTCTATCGGAATCTAGAAAAGATTCTATTTCTTACAAGCACACCGTGGCATTTATGATCTCAAAGCTTCTCTCTATTTTCTTTTTTTTTTTCGGGATCGAAGTATCTTCTTCTTATAGTTACTATTTATTTAAGTTAGTTAAACTAAATATGCACTCGATCTTCTCACTCGAGCCAATATCTTTGACAACAGAGTAGGAGACTCATCTATATTGAATTAAATATTAAATATGTGCCATAAATGAAGAACCATAAAAAGATATAATTATTTATTGATAACTTATTAGCTGTCTTGTTTATCTTACTGCCGTACATCTGGATATATCATATGCAATTCATTTAGACGACGACTCCATCATCTATTGATTATGTTGTTGTACTTTGAATTTTACACTATATAAAAGGAATAATATTTAATGGGCTATAATTTTCAACTAAGGTGATACGAATATGTGATCCTACTAATATACATTATACTATTATTTTTTTTGTTCTTTAATTTTCTAGAGGAATAAGAAATAAAGCATTGTTGTCCCTTCAAGTACCGAAGCAAAAAATATCATGCTCTCGTTGATACTACGTTAGAGTTACTTTGGTTATATTGGTTTCTTAAAATTTAGGAGTCTTATCCCAGTCTATAGCACAAATTTATTATGATAATTCTAGCATTATTCAAATCCTTGTCTTAGTATAGATTTGGGCAAAAATTCACCCACTTGTGGGCACTGCTTGAGCCAGCCCAAGTTTTCTTAGTTCATACTTTAATAGATTTTGGCCCAATAGACTACTAATTAAACTTGAATCGAACTAGTTTGATTTAACCGATTTAGGATGATTATGAAATGAACTTAGACTAATTCAAACTTAAATTTAACTTAATTAAATATAAATTAGACTAGTCTAGGATGATTCTAGTAGTCTTATGAAGATTGTTAATTGGTTCAACTAGGTTCTAGTTTAATTAAATTCGATTCAAATTGATTGGACTAATTCAATTAGGGTTCAAGTTGATTGAGGGTTAATTATATTTTGATTCATGATGTTAATGATATTGATATGTCATTTATATTTTAAGTTATTGAGGTTGATTTATGAGTTTAATTATGATTGTTTAACAGATAAGTGATCTACAGATATTAGTATGGATGTAAGATATTTACCCGTCATGCTTTACATGAGAAGAGCGCCCATCATATATCGAGTGGCACCTACTAAATTGAATCCCTCATATAATTCTTCTGGTATAATCTATGGATATATGTGATAGCACAAGTCTTAACTAATAAGATATATGATACTACTATGATAAAAGGACGTAGATGATCCCTATCAATTATAGGTGATCCATTATACTGAAGGGTGATTCCTTTCAAGGGCAAGTGGATCATTAAACGTGGCAACTAAACAGTTCCTTCATCTATTATTAGGAGGAATGTATCTACACCTTGGCAGATGAGGAACATCATTTTATCTGGAATTATGATATGAATTCATTTCATCTACTGTTAGGAGAGAAGAGAATCCATCGCGAAGAATAAAGTATCTTTATCGATTATTGGGAGGATAGTCTATTTAGTCTGCAACCCTGCATAACATGTATGAGATCTAATATGAGACTTGATATTGATCCTTGTTTCTAATTGTTCTATCAAGATTAATTTTTTAGATTTATGACTATATGTTTTTGGAATCATTATGACTTCGTTTTTAATGCCAAATTTTATTTTTTTTAAGAAATTAGAATTTATTTTGAATAAGTTATTTTATTAGTGTATATTGCTCTGAATTATTCTATACACGTGTTAAAAAAAAATGGGCATGAGATATAATACTTACTAGTTGTAAAGTTTGATATTATTAATTGATAGTTTTTAATTAAATAAATTAATTAGGAGAATATAAAGAATCTATGAGTTCCTCGTTACTAATGGGGACTTCTCATTTCCGCCCCCATCTAAATAGGAAATGGGGTTGGGATGGGGGATGAGATGGGGATGAGGATAAGAGAAGCACTCCTCACTTCTATCTTGCCTTGTTGACATCCCTAAGCAAGAGGGAAGGAGAGGTGTAAGCTAGTAAAAAGAAGAAAATGAAGGATGATTATTGAAGTTCTTTTTGCTTCGATTGTTTTTTCTTTTAAATTTTTAATTGAATTGGAGTGTGATTATTGGTCTTATCTTTCTCTTTTCTTATTTCATATATATTTTATGATTAATCAATTTATTATATAGTTCATCAAATGATATTGATAAGTCACGTGCCTGAATTACTATCAGCAATTCCTTATATTCATCTTTTGGGTCATTGAGAGTATGAAAAATGACTTCTTCTTCGTCACTTAGGATGACTTATTAAAGTCAAATTATATATTATAACTTTTAGGTTTTGTATATAATCAATAATAGTACATTCCTCTTATATTATTTTTATCAAAGTACATAAAAAAATTAGCATATGAGTGCAAGAGTGATTGGTGAGGGTGATAGGTAACTTGGACCATGCTTCTACTATAGTGCTATATGAAAAGATTAGTAATACTATAGAGCCAACATAAGACTTGAATGTCTTATAGAATAAAATGATATTGTTGTAGTCCTGAGATCCGGATTTACTATTATGATAGGTTCTCTTGATATTAGGATTTTGTTTTGGTGGACAACTAAGAGAATCATCAATACAACCTAATAGATCACATCCAAGATTGGTGAATTGTACTCACCAAGATATATAGTTGTCATCTTTAGAGAGCTTAAAGGGGATTAGAGTTGCTAGATATAAGTTCTGTAGGTTAAGATGAATTATTGTTTCCTATGAAAATAATAATTAGAGCATCAAATGTAAAGACATATTGAGAAGACATTGTAATTCAATAAGAGAAATCCAATCAACTGATGATCTAGTTTAAATGCACCGATGATGGAGATCTAAGAAGTGCATAGGAGAGGATTTAATATGATGAAGGAAATCAAATTTGAGAAGTGCACAAGGAAGGATTTAGATATACAGAATAGGGCGATCTCTTTGTTCTCTCTTGAGTTCTTCTCTCGATCACGAGTGTTAATGGTGTAGTAGAAAAGATGATAATAAGTAATGGAGTATCGTCGAGAGGTCGATCGTGGATCCAAGGCACTAGTGAGTTTGACGATTAACGAAAAGGAGATGAGGATGCTAAAGTAGTAGGTAGGAGCATATGGTACACCTAGCAAACATAATTGTACAATGATGAAGAAATATCGAAGAAGTTGGTCGATCACTAGAGGAGGCTGATCAGATCAACAAAATGGAGTAGATCTATTCCAAACATGCTAGGAGATTAGTATGAAGGAGTCAGCACGTCTTCATCTTTGATGCAACAATATCAAAATCCGAAAGCATTAAAAGTTATAAAGCTAAGATAAAAGGAAGAGAGAGCTATGCTCGAAGCAAAGAAAAGCTCTCATAAGAATTTGTTATGAAAAAAAATAATTTTATTTATTAAGATAATATATATTTATACATGTTTTGAAGGAGAGATTCATTCAATCATGCACTATTAAAATCTTATACTTAAATATGTGATTAATTCTTAAATTATAAATTTATTGAGAATTAAAAAATATATAAAAATAAAAAATCATCATTCTGTATTTACCTATATCGTGATCATCTTCTATTATTGTTAGATGAATATTATGATCTTATGATTCCTAAGTGGTCGTTAATAATTGAGTTTGGAGTTTTAGCGTGCTTATAGCTCCATTGTAACTACTGTGAGTTGAACCAATATAACTGGAAGGTGATCTTACTTTCTTGGATTTTAAGCCTAGGAAAACTACTCAGGTCGAGTGAGAAATGACAAACTCAACAGGATTGACCACTTTATTTTTGTCTAATATTTCTATTATAGAATTACGAAAACCGTATGCGTATAAACATATCGACGTGCACAAGAGGATTGAGGATTAACGAAGGGATGAACAGTGTAAATGACACTCCTCTTCTTACCTTCTTCCTCCCTCCCTCCCTCCCTCCCTACCCAATCGTTATATCAGGCAGAAAGCATCTCCATGATTGACCGAACGCAAGGATAGGATTTGCATGTCTTTAGCCGGGGAAACATGCATGAGGTGGGAGAGGAACAACTGCTCGTCTCCTCACCGTCGCCCCGTTGTCATCACGTGACCGAGATATTTATTTCTTTTCACTTCACTTGCAGCGGCAAGTCACGTGCTTTCCCATCCCCTATTCCATCATTTCATTTGTTTATTTTACTCCTATCCCTTATCTAGATAGAGCTTTCGATGAGATCTCAACCGTCCGATTCGGGAAGACCCTTTCACAACAGAAACCCAAGAATTTGTTGGGGGGCACAAATTTAGAAACAAGGGAACCATAATGCGGTGGTGGGAGAACGACCGCCCGGCCGGCGGGCGGCCGTGGGCAGCTTCGGGGCCTGGCTTCAGCTCAGCAAACCCCATAGTCGCTGAACAGCAGATCCGGCCGTGCGGAGGAGGGGTCGTTCTCCTGGTGGCGGAGGAGCAGCAGCTCCTTCTGGCGGCGGAGCTCCATGACCTTGCGGTGGGAGTTGGAGTGCTGCGTGAGCACGAAGGTGGGGCTCGCTGCCGGCCGGTACTCCGGCACGAGCCGACCCGACTTGAACCTCACGCCGCACGCGTTGCACAGCGTCTTCGGTCCCAGCGGCCCCGTCCGCCACTGCGGCGTCTTCTCCGACGCGCAGTGCGTGCATCGCCGCACCCCGCCTTCCAACCCCACGCCTCCTCCGCCCTTCTTCCCTCTGCTGCCCCTGTTTCCGTTGTCGGCACCGCCCGCCTTCGGCCTCGACGGAGAGAACTCGGAGGACGACGACGAGGACGAAGACGAAGGCGAGTTCTGCGCCGGTGGATGCGGTGGCGTCACCAATGAGGACCATGCGGCGGCCGAAACGGCACCGATGGTCGCCCTCGAGCGCTTGCCCCGAGCTCCGCGGCCGTTGGCCGACTGCTCCGCCCGGAGCTGCGCCTCACACGAGGGCGCAATTACGGCCGCCCCGGACTGATAAGAAGGCACATCCGAGAAGGACTCCTCCACAAACTTGGACAGCCACTCGAGCTCGGCCGCGTCCTCGCATTGCTGCACAAACAATACAAAAGCTTCAAGCACTCGTTCATCTAAAGCAAGCGCGTGCAGATCATACTCGGAGCTCCGGTGGTTGCCTCACAGGAACGTAAAGGTCGAAGGTGGTGTGCTGAGATTGGCGACCGGAGAACGTCTGTCCCGACGGCGGACCGCTTCCGGGCACGGTCGTCGTGGTGGCGTAGAATTGAGCGTCGACGCCAACAGAAGCGTAGAGATCGTGGTCGGAGAAGTCGAGGAGGTCATCGACGCGGAGACTGGCGTCGGCGGTGGGCGGAAGAGCCCCGTAGAGGTAGGCAGGCGTAGTGGCAGTAGCGCTAGTGGTAGGAGTAAGCGGCGCGACAACAGGTGCTGTGGTAGAATAACGAGCTCCGGATCCAAATTCCATTCCCATCCCAAAATCCACCCCCGTTGCCATCTCCCACTCCGGAACCATCGCCAAAGGGAAGGGGAGGAGCAACGAAGGACGATGGTCCTCGGAGCTCTTAATCTTGTTCTTTTCCTAGTTAGGGGGGGTGGCGGTGGTGGTGGTGGTGGATATAGAGAGGGCGAGCGAAAGAAGGGAGAAGAAATGGCGATGGGATTGGGGTCAATATGGCACTCATTAACTTGCAACTCTGCTACAAATAATGGAGCCGGTCATGATGAGGCCAATGATAAATAATGTCGATGGCGATGCGGAAGTAATGAGGGTCTCGGACTGGGAAGAAGGACCGGGGGGCGAGCACATTAAAAAAAGGAGTCGTGGCTCGTGCACTTCATCCATCCCTTGCCCTCGTCTCGTCCCGCCCCCACCTCCCTTCCTCTCTTTAAAGTCCTGTTACTTTCACTGCTTCCTCTCTTTTTCCTCGTCTGCTGCCCCCCTCATATTTATCCCTCTACCATGTGAGTTTTCTCAAATATATATATATATATATATATGCGGAGGTACTGTAATGACACATGAGACTTGATATCATTTTATTTTCCTCTTTCTCTTTCTTTTTTTTTTTTTTTGTGTCAGAGGTACTGCCCATGTGGCATGGCCACGTTCATGCTGTATGTGGCTTGATTGACATGCATTTGGGTTGGCCATCTTGATGCCTACCAACGGTGACTGCGGAGACCGACTCTCGGCCCGGGGAGTAGCTGGGGACGAATACAACGGGTGGTGAGTTTGTCTGTCTATACGACGTTAAACGAAGATTTACCCGTACGTCATGGGACTGCGCGGCCACTGCGTGCCGTCCATGCACGAAAGGATCCCATCGGCTTGCGGCTTGTGGAATAGCGCAGGCGCTGTCCATCGGATAAGGAGGTGGTGGTCCCCGCGGCGCAAATGGAGCGGGACTCGTCCTGTTCCCTGTCCGCAGCGGTGGTGCGGCCGATGAGCCGGAGGGGGGTGGAGGTTACTGTGGGTGAGGCGAGTGGTCGGTAAGACATGTGTAGTGTCGGACGCCGTGGGGACCAGCGCTCCGCCCTTTTCTCTCTAACCGTTTACCTTTTGCTTTCCTTTACCTCTCTCTCTCTCTCATATGTTTGACATGGCCGAGAAGCTAAAGGGGGAAAGGAAATAAAACTACCGACGCGAGACAACTGGATACAGCTGTGAAATCTCCGAGGAGGAGACTCCCAGCAATCATGCGGCTGGCGTTGCACCTCCCCGCCGCTTCGGGCCACGAGGGCGACCGCACACAGGCGTCGCACTCACTCTCACGCGCTGGGTCCGTACGACACCTCGTCCGAGGCGGGACCCGGGCGATGGACGAGGCCTCGGCCGCCAGCTGTACAACCTGTCCCGGTACGGCCCAGGACCACGCACCTTTTTTTTTTTTCTTCTTTCTTTCTTTTTTTTATTCTTTTATGTGCCACCGTCGCGTCGACAATCTGAGGATCCCTCAGCCGTCGCGTCGGGCGGGGCCCGTGGTGGGTCCGGGTTCGGTGTTCATCCACGTGGCTGTCATGTGGGAAGAGGACAGTGGAGGGCGGAGCAGCATCGAATCACGTGAGGGCGATGGGGATCCCGAGGCGGGGAAGGAATCGCACACCCACCCACCCCGCACGTGCTCGCTCGTGGCCTCTGATCACGCTTACACGTGATCGGGCCTGAGTGCCAGCCCTCCTTTCCCTTGTTTTTTGCCCCCCTTTTCATCCACTTTTTGTTTACTTGAATCATCCGATTGAGTTAACTCCACGAACTGAGGTAACGACGCGTTCGTGTGGTGGGTGCTCCGCGGGTGAGCAGACCCGCGTCGATGTCGGCGGTCGACTTCGGAAATCGCCCCTGGACAATCCCATCATCACGTGGCGGTCGCTATCGACACTCCTCCACGTGTCGGGTAGCTGCCGAAGGATGGAGCTGCGGGTGTGCATCCCGCTCCACGCGGGATCCCCTGGTGGACCACGGGCACGTGGCTGCCGTCAGAAGGCCTGCCTGGGAAAACCCTTTTCTCTCTCTCTCTCCCTCCTTCCGCCCTTTTTCCTTCCATAGTGATCTCTTTTGCTCCTCTCCGTCTTTTAACGACGGACGAAAGCAGCAGCAGAAGCAGCAGTAGCTGCCAGTGTGAAGAGCATGTGGAGCGCACGTGCGGAAGATGGCGTCCGACATGGCTTTTCTAACCCATCTGCGTGGTGGTTGCTTTACTCTGTGCTCCCGTCCTCGGAATTTGAATTTTTTTGTGCCTTTTACATTATCCAATGGGTGAATTGTGTATATAAGAGGAGACTTAGATGGAAGAAAACAGGGGCTTTCTTCCCTTGAGAATTTAACACCATTGGCAGCTCGGCAGCGTGTTCGGGGCATTGATGCTGCTTAACTGGCAGTTACCTCGGTCTCGGTGCAACCATAACTGCTAGCAAGTTGTCATCTGTGCATCTTGACAGAGAGAGAGAGAGAACGGGGAGGTAAAAGAAACTTGGACGGAGGAGCAGGTGGCCTCAATGTGAAGTCCAAAGTCTCAGTAATCAAACACACCTTACCATGTGCGGGACATGGTTGACATCCACAAAGGCCTTGGATCGTTGGTGATTAGAAACTTACCATCATCAAATCACCTTTTTTTCTCCATCTCCAAGTGTAAAGATTTCCCATACAACCAAATTGAAGATTTCATTTGGGGATTTGATTCGAGAATAGTAGTGCCAAAGGATAAATCGAAACTTTTTTACCAAAAAGACCACCATGTGATTTCCCATACACCAAACACAATACCTGTCACATCTTCCACCAGTCGCATTCGAGTACGTTGTTTACCAACCAACCTGTGCCCGGTAAACTTTGATGAAATGCTTCGACGCTACACAACGGAAGTCGGTACCCATCCCCCATGCATAAGAAGCAGACACCCAAACCGAGTAGATGTTTCCCCTGAACTGAACTGAACTGAACTAGCAGCTGCGTCACACATCTCGATCAGCATCAAACAAATTGCTAATTATAATGAATCACCACAGTTTATGTACTAGTTTCTCATAAAGGTGACGCATCTGATATTAAATCATGTAAACAGTTGGAGCCAATAGAGTAGACAAGACCACACGATTCATTCAAACAAAGAGGTATTCAATAGTGCAGATTGGTTAGATCAGACAAGCCACCTACTGACTTATCTGTCCCAAAAAACAACATCATGTTACATTGAGCCGTGGGTAGGTAACTCAGCCATCCTATGTGCTAGAAAAGTTGCTCAATAGCAACTAAAGGACGATCCATCAACACACGTAAGTCAATAACTATAGTTCTAAAAAATTGCCTAGTACTAATTTTCAATAGCAACTAAAGTAATGAATTCTCCATTTCAGTTATCCATAGATTTCAAGTTCCTTTATTCTCCTGAAATTGAAATTGGAGAGAAACCTAATTCAAGCTGACAGGTTCGTAAGCATACCATACTAAAATTATGGATGGGAGAAAAATACAGCACAATAGAAGATATAAGGTCAGTTATGAAATGAGGTACTCTGAATTCAGCAATTATTTAACATCCTTTTTTCTGTAAAATTTGAACTCATCGACGTCCGAGTTCTACAAATTCGTGCACCTCCCACCTCCCTGAGCAGGTAAAAGACACTCCGGCTGTGGTCAGACTTCAAGAATCACCTTCCGACCGAATGACCCGTCTCTAGATGGAACATACAAATGGACAAACTCATCAGAGAAGAAAAAAATATTTCAATTACGAACAGGAAGATGAAAAATACTGAAGCGGTCCTATATACAAAAGGATGAATCAGCAATTCCCATGGCAGAAATGAGAAACAACAAAAGTATGGACCAACCTTTGAAAATAGCAAAAGGATGAAGCAATTTTGCTTCATGTACCATCAATGTGATCTGGAAAAAGGACAATGTCATTATACTCTAAACTGTACTAATCGATGAAAGTGCAACAAACTTATTAGCATTTCCCAAAACTCTTAAATAAATTAATAGGAAACAATATGACATTCTTCTGTGCAAGAATTGCACAAAAACTCAACTCTAGCTGTCTCACTGCTATTTCAACCCAAAAATTATACTTAAGAGAATTTTCAGTTAAATAAAGGTGTATCCAACATGCAAAGTCACTTGTACCAGTTTTCCTCACAGCAATCAGATACAAAACACCTTGCTTTTTTATAAACAAAGCAAGATTCTGTTTTTTTTCTTATACAGAATCTTTCAGAACAACCGTGAACAGGCACAATAATGTCCTAGATTTTACCATAATTTTAAACAAAAGCCTCCAACAAAGCTAAGAATAGGCCCAACAATGACATATCTATCAAGAAAGGCTTTTGTTCTTGAGCGTTGTAAATCTTCAGTTTACCTAACCATTTCAAAATAGAATTTTTGCTAGGGGATAAGAGTAATGAGGTCCTAACTAGCACCTAAGTGACTAGCAGTGATGCATCATGAGTTTTTAGGCCATAATATCCCTCTGTAAAGGTGTGCTACTATACTAATTGTCATATCTGCATCTATTTGATGTGTAATTCTTAGGTCTGACCTCCACACAAAAAATATTTTTTTTCAAATTTAAAGTGTCATAAAGAGAGGCCCGATGAAGACAGTGGGATTAAGTTGGCTTATATCTTTGTTTTACTTGATGTGATTGCAATTGCAATCCTCAACATAACAGACAAAATTCTCAGTAGATAAATCATTTAATAATAATTAATACGCAACTTAAGTTCAATCAATTACTTCATATAATGCAATGGCCAAATGTACTTAGTGTAGTTAACGTTAAAGTGTTAATCACTTGATCCTTTCAATTAAGGAAAACCAAGGTTAGTCTATTAAGAAAAACTAGGTGACACTTCAAAGAGATACAATGTGAACAATAGAAAGAACACGATGAACATACAGAAAACAGCTACCCAACCGCACCATATATCATAAGGTTGACATTCAACAAAGACTAGAACAAGATATTTTTGTAAGGCATTAATAGGAAGACTATAAAAAGTAGATAATGATGCATAATCAATTAATAACTGCCAACAGCAAGGGAATTCAATACAAAACCCCCACACACACCAACAAAACACCAAGCACACAGGACAGGTCAATCAACTGTGCAAATTGTTGGCTAGATATATGTAGTTTAATTAAGTTTGGTTTAATTAGACCTGGTAATAATGGGTTTTAAGCATGTCAAACTGTTACCAACAATGATAGTCTTGGATGCATTATTTATTAAAGTTTTTACCACGTAAGAGGCTACTTGATGAAATATTATGAGGAAGAGGCGACTTCCAAAATATTTCTTTAAGAAACACAAACAACTTCAGGAAAAATTCACTTATACAGGGTTGACAAATTGATTATATAGAGTCTTAAGTACCACTAACAGTTCCAAACAGTCAAAGTTGGAGTCATGTAGCAATTCGCATCTCAAATTAAGCAATTGATGGCTTCGTTAATGTTTTAAATCAAAACCAATAAAACCAATTTGAGATGACTTCAGTTTTCCTGTCGAAACATAGCGTACAAGTAGAAATTCTACAAATAGATTCACAACTAGTAGCAAGAAATCTTTGATGCAAAGCAAAAATACTAAATGCTCGAAACAAAGCTACTCACAGATAACTGGAAACACTGACAGAACAAAGACAGCACTAGAGTCCGGGATAGGTGCGGCGGAGGATACCCTGTGAGAGAGTCCGGCCGCCGCGGGAGGTGGCGCTCAAACGCGACGTCAGCCTCGCCGCCGCCACCGCGCTGTGCAACGGGAACAGGGAGCCGCCGCAGCACCCCAACTCGACAGGAATCCTTCATCCGAATCACAAACAAAAGCGCCAACTAAAACCCGAGTCCAAAAAACGACTCCCAGTACCAATCGAGAAACTCACCTGGAGAGGGTAGAGAAGCGGCGGATCGGACACGGAGCGGCGGCGACGGGTCTCGATCTGACACCGAGTGACCCGAGGCAAGACAGAGCGATACGGCGGCTCATGGATCGCACGCAACTCGACGCCATTCGACGAAACTAGCGAATTCGACTGGGGTTAGGGTTTCGCCGAGACTGGGAGAGCTTGCGGGGCCTATCCGCGGTCGTGGGAGAAAAGCGACCCGGTAGAGGCTAAAATGGTAATTATAGGGGTGATCGTCACCCATCCAATTGGTTGCGGATCAAGATTTGGTAATCCAGGACCGGCCCATTAAGCGAACACGTCTCAGCCCATGGCAAATGTCCTCTGCGTGATGTGCGTCTTTTTACGGTGAAGGCAGTCGCCGTTATCCGTGTGTCCGAGAAAGTGAAACAGCTTGTGACTTGTAGCAGTAGCAGCTGCAGGAGTGATGGAGAATGGGAGAGCAACACGGAAAAGACAGAGTCCCGTTATGGGACTTCTGGGAGCTCGGGAACTGGTGGTCTCCTTCACATATTTGGCTCGTCCTCTTGTTACTATGCTGCAGCCCAGCACAGGCATATACCCCGGCTGCCGCCCGCTGCTGGTTCTTCGACTGCCGAGGTTCCAGGTGGACAGTTTCGGGCGGAGGAGTGCGAGCTGCACTCCAAAACTCCAAGAGCCGTGGTGCTCGGAGTCTAACACCGAGCGCTTCTGTCAGCAGTGCAGCAGGTTCTTCCGCCACCGATGTAGTGAGAAGTTGAACTGAAGACCTCGATAGAACTCACAGGTTTTCTTTTTGACTTGAAACATGATGCAGGATTCATGTGATCTCCGAGAGTTCGACGAGTCCGAGAGGAGCTGCAGAAGGCAGTTGCCCGGGCACAACGAGCGCAGAAGGAACAACGGCAGTGATTCCATCACTACAATCCCTCTTTTAGGAGCAAACACAAACGTATCCTTTTTGTTGCATGCTGCACAACTTGCATGTAGGCTAGCTCTGCAATTCATATTGAAATTGACCATTGTCACGAAGCACATTCACGTAGCTTGAAGAAGTTGCTTATAACCGGTACTAACTATTAGCAATTATGAGTTGCAGTCAACCTTACTCTCATGCTGCTCCTTGAGCTCCAATTTGTTGGCAGAAGGTGCCATGACCGGGGACATGGCCCTCCTACTTATCAACTTCACTCTCTCACCTGTCATGCAAGCCTTCCTTTCCTTGTATCTCGATGTCGGGCTTCTGGTCCATATCGAGCACCGCGGGTGCTCGACAAGCTGATCGCCTATAACCGTGCTGCCGCCAGGCTCGGCAACTGTTCCAAGATCAAGGAGGTGGGTGGCACGCCGTGGCCTCTGCGAAGCACCAGCCGCCAGTCTGGCCACATGAACACCTACCAAGTAACACCAGAATCAGCACCGCACCAGCTTACTACTGGTAGTCGAAGTCAAACTTGCAGGAGGGAGGGGCTGGAAACCGATACCATGTGAAGCCCCAACACCAACCTCAAATATGTCAACTTTGTAATCCTCTGATTAATTTGTATGAGTGCGTATCTAAATTTGTAAGTCATTAGCTTCCAGTGGATGTCATGAGCAAATACATCTTTTGTTGTATGATCGTCAATCATTAAAATTGAGACGTAAGTTTGATCTAATAGAACAAGACTTCTTCAACTATATATGAACTGGTTTTATCATCGACTAATAGAACTGCAAGTTTTGTATCTACTCAGCTCTCTCTCCACCTATGGCCACAGCTTGGGTTGCAGCAGACAAAAAACAATGTCATTCCTTCCTCTCCCCTGCTAGCAGCCTGCAAACATTGGGCACCATACCGTGTAAGCTATATAGAGAATAAAAATGAGTAGAGAATGAGAAACGTAAGCCAATTAAATCGGCACCTAGTAATGCATAGTCTGTTCAAGAAATGACAGCTGAAAGGGTTATTACTTGGACAAAAGCTTTCTTGCTCGTATTCAAGTAATTAGCAGCATTTACCTATCCGACTTCTATCTAACACTATAATATGTAGAGAGAACTAAGCTGTAGTATAATCCATCTAGGGCACTATAATATGTAGAGAAAAAGTAAGGGGCCTTCTTCACACATCTAAATCAGCAAAAACAACTTGCTAAAATAAAGCTATGACAGCCGCAGCTGTTCCTTTATGAACAAACACATGTAACATGCTAAACATTGGTCAACTTCTTTGTCAAAAGTAGTCGCTCCTCTAGTAAATCTATAAGAATAACGTCTATTTCTCAATTGGTTCAGGCGTCGATTTTCGAGACATGTTCAAAGGAAACAATAAAGTAGACTAGAGCCTAACTCTTTCCATTACCATTCATTTAGAGATTTTCACTACTAGATCACTGCTTAAAGAAGCATCTCACACTGTTAAGATAATGCTAAGTATCAGATCATCCATGAAATGGTTGCAGGGCATCTCTCCTGCTGACAGTCAAATAAATAGAGCACCATCCTACATATATTACACCATTGGCTGAGCCCTACTCGCAATGCAACACAAGCAACAATAACAATGACGTCCTACAGTGTGGGCCACAAAGTAATTGTGGAACGCACATCCTCTTTTACATATATACATAACTTCTTGTATTCTCCATGGCCTCTTTTGATGAATAAATGCATTAACACCAAGTTCTAATTGAATGACCACAAGGTGAATAACTGAAACAAGTAGATAGTGCTGCTACCTAAAAATTTGGCTGAGAGATACATTACAAAAGCCAGAACAATAGCGGACAAGTATCTACTGTTAAGAATACAATTAGAAGCTCAAAGCAAAATTTGCTAAAACAAACATCTTATGAACTAAAGTATAACATTAACTCAAAGATATTAGGAACTTAGTTTGACAAAAGATGATCATCATCAGCTAGGAGCAAAGCATGACCATTGAAACTCAATAATAAGAGAAGTGCTGCTTAATTAGTGTTGGTGGGGACAGCAACAGTATCCAGAGGATGGTATTGGTGACGGGAGTACTGACAATAATACCAAAGGCATGATGTACTGGTGATGGTGGAGGTGAAGTGGCATGGTATTATAGTCGTTCTGCCAAAAAATTGTGGAGAATGGAGTAATGATGATAATGAAGACATGCTTAAGTAAAAAAGAATATGAGAAATTTTTTTTTTGTAGTATTTCAAACTACATGGAAAAATAAAAATTATGAAATAGTTATTTCATAAAAAAGTTTCCCATTTTCAATCACTAAACATGTTTTCTATACTTTTATTAATATTTTTAAATAATGACAGATGAAAGTAAACACCATAAGTACTTCAAGGAAAAACTTTTACCATCCAGCTGCTTTTAGAAACTATGTTGGTGAGATTACTGGTAGTAAAATAACTACCCATGCATTCTTGGACCAAAATTTGTTTAGATCCAGTATGTTGTAGTGGTTGGATATAACATATCCTTCCTTATGTGTACTTTAGGGCTGAATATTGACACGTCTTATTAAGCATCATAATGAAAATGATGATGATATGATCTTTGGTAATAGTTATGTCTGGTTATGGAGATGGCCAAAATGATGATGATGTGGTGTTAAAGACAGAGTGATGGTAGCAACAACAATGATAATAGTGGTAAATATTATCGTCACCTTGGTTGTTGGCACCACAATTACTGCTGTCAATACATATATCCTTATTTTTATCACTACTAATGCCACCACCATCATCCATACCAACAACAGGACTCCATTACCATCAAAAGAAGAAAAGAGATTTCAAGATGCTCTTTGTCTTTCACCGAAGCAACAAAAAAAAAAAAGCCAATTAGCACATCTATATACATTACCACAGGAGAACATTTTCCAAGGGTAGGAAAATCTTGCATTCTCAAAAGTAAAATAGGTGAAATAGATCTGACCTGGAAGAAAGCAGCTTCTGGATGATTGCATTTGCTGCATTTAACTGCCTTTGTACGAGGAAGAGTTGGATCAGCTGCTACATCCTGTAAGACTTGAGTGCGTTCACTTGCAGTATGATGTACCTCATTTCTGTAGACACAACTATAGTCAGCAACCTCCTGCATTTTGAAAAGTACATTTCATCATAAACTTGAGGATAACTGTAAATTAGAGGCACTTAAAAATCTCGAGTAATTTGGGATAAACTAACCTAGGTATGTATACTTCAAAATATTGAGTAATTTGGCAGAATCTAACCAAGTTCTTCAATTCCCATTATTGAGTTCCAAAGAAAGCAATATCTTTAGGTAAATCAAGAAATTTCAAACCAAGAGCTGTAAGAAACAAATTTAAGAGCTTTACACTAATTCAATTGAAGAACTTGGCCTGTGAACCATCTAAAATACCCAACTAAAATTAATATAACAAGGTTCATCATTTTATTTTTCATTAAAGAAATTAGCTTTGCAGTTATTCCATTGAAGAACAACAAAACCATAAAAATAGCAGAACATCTCTAAGAAATAAAACCTATACAAATTTATTATTGCATATTTGTTCCTCCAAAGTGCTTATGTGTCAGTATTTTTGTGCGACAGTAGCAGTTGGTATTCGAATATATACACTATAAGCATAAATTATACTAATAATTCTTTGTGCTCTAATATCATAGAATAGCCTTTTTGGTAATAAATATATTTCTTTTAGGCAACCTCAGAGATGCTAAAGAAATGCCATTCATAAATCTTCATAAACCATACAGATTAGAAATTGAATCCTATGTCAAGTTTAGAAAGGAAAAAGCCACATTTAGCAAAGGAGAGGACTAAAATGACATATAGGTCTGCACAAATTTCTGGATAAATTAGGCAAATGATAAAGTACAAGGTACATGTCTCTAAACATTCTGAACCATGTGACGTCGACATCCATGATATCCATAAGTATAAAGTTAAAGTGGAAGATTCACCATCAAAGTAATAGGAGCCAAAAGAAATCATCATTGGTAAATGTCATGTTAACATGGACAGGTAAACAAGAACAAGTACCTTGATTCTTCCAACAATATATAACATAAAAAAGAAACTGATAACGAGGGATTTGCATCTAATTAGTTTGGTACCTAATCACATATTATACAAAAATATGGAGCCTGGCACCATATCATGTGGATAAAATCAAAGCAATCATTTAAAACATTTTATTCTGAAGCATAGTTGAGGGTAGCTTTACTTGGGTTAATGTCTAAGAGAAACCCAGAAGGATGTCATATGTCTTGATGAACTGATCCTTCTATACTAAATAAAATATCCTCAAGAAAATACATAAAAAAATATTTAGCAAATAAAATCCAATTCTGAGTGATGACGCAGATGTTGATCCGGTAGTAACTGGAAACATCAGACTCCAAATGTGTGAGGTATCGAATAATGTTTGGCACCTTGAGCTTATGCCCATTTTCAGGTATATATTTAAGCATTTTATAATGTTAGATTATCAGAGGGTCATGTTTCAAATCCAGCAAGATCAATCATTTTGGAGTGAATTCCTTGTGATTCTCATCATGTGTTCATTTCAATCTTTATCTATGTAGCATTTTACTGCATGTATGTAGTTAAAGATCTTTTGCTCTCTGTCCTTGGTTTCTAATCATATATCTCCATTCCAAGCAAATTTTTGTGGGTTCCGCAGAACCAGATCGGCACCAACTTACTTTCAATCGTTTGCCTTGACACTGATAAGCTTTTCATGTGTCATTATATTTAATCCAAGGTCAGACCTACCTCCCTCATTCCTCACTCTTCCCTTTCGAAACAAAAACCCAATCGCTTCCACCAAAACGATTAGAATCTGATAGAGGTTGAAGACGTATATGCGCAATAGTGTCGCAATAGCTACCGTGGAATGATGCTGGTGAAAAAACAGTCGAAAATATAACCGGAAAGAAACCCTAGCGAGGCTCGCCAGTGCAGGAGAGACGACAGCACAAACGTCAACAAAAAAACCGAAAGGAAGCCGAGATCGAGGAACCTGGTGGTAGCAATTGCGGCAAGCGAAGAGGAGGACCTTCCGCTCCTTGTCTTCCTTGGGGTACAGGATGTTGTTGCTGTTTCCGACAATGGGAAGAAGAAAAGTAGAGATGGATCATCGCGAAGAGAGAGGAAGAGGCAGAGAGAATAGGGCACTCATTTACCATTCACGGCAAAACTTCATGGTACTCATGGTCGGCCGTCGTTGGGAGTCGAACCACCTTTCTCCGCTTCGCTTCGCTTCTCTCCTTTTCTTGGGATCGCGATCCATGGCCGGGTTTTATAGTCGGGCCCCGGGGACGCATATCACGTGGTAGACACGTGACTGAAGGCAGGCTTCCTCCAATCAGAGGTCCTATTTTTGGCCCACATAAAACTAATAAGATAAGTCAACGTTGACTTATAAGTCCTATTTCGAACTAATCAATCAATCAATCATGGAGTATATTTATGTACCTCGGTAGATTTTGGTCGTTAAGTTGACGTATGACAAGATTGATTGGACTTGGTTTGTGTTTTTCTTCATATTAAGAGTCTCGATGAAGCAAAGGAATGTTACTTAAAGAATGCAAAACTTACTCAAAAATATAATTATTTTTGAACAATTCCTTTTTCACAAAAAAATAATTAGCATTTTGGATAAATCCTTAAGTAGAAAATAAAGCTTCACAGTTGTCTGATCATATATTGTATCGCATCATTCTGAACTATCCGATGCTTAAAATCAAAATCCAAAAAACTGCAACCCCTACGCTTACCCAGAAACACTAGTAATAGGATGTGATCACTATTTCTTGGTCCATTGCTTCCCTTGCATCCTGTAGCGTACAAAATCCTAATGAGATCTACCAAGAACAGTGAGGTTTGGCAATACTAAGAGTCAGAGTCAGATTGATGTATTTAGGCTCAAGACAAAGAAAGACTGCAACTTTGCACCCGTAACATTTTACACCTAATCATCTGATTACGAGATTTTTTTTTTACACCGTCTGTCTGTCGTCTGAGAACAAATCTTGTGTCCCAATCCTTCGGATTGTATATGTACATGATGACGCCTACAGACAATACCTTCACTGTCAAGCTGGCTGGACAGGCAACGCAAACTCGCATTACGTCGTTGTTACATCGTAACGGTGCCCTCCAATCATCCATGAGTCTGACCTGTTGCATCATGTAAAGTGAGACGGTTCTCAGTCCCGTATAATGAAGGATAATGTATTTTCTATTTTATTAAAAAAAGCTTACCTCTAGCAGTCAATACACCCCGATGCAACGGCTTGGCAGCTCTTTCGTGTGAAACACCAGGACCCTTGGCTACAATCAGAGAGCTTTGCAAACCTTCCAGTAACTGTATACAACAACACGATTAAATTCTGATAATCAGAACCTCTGGACATGAAGGATTAATGGAACTGTTTTCAAAAACAAATCCCAAGACAACTCAAAATTCAAACTTGGACACAACATGCCATAATGCCCCAACAAAACTCAAATTTGGATCCAAACCCCCCCCCACCCCCACCGCCCCCCAAAAAAAAAAAAATTTTGCTAGTGCTACGAGCATGCTGCTTTCTCAAGATTCTCATGGACAAATATACAAATGCCACACAAGTTCGATCCTCAATGATGGCAATACTTTTCAGAAGGCAAAAAAAGGAATAAAGCAGCAAAACAAATTCTACAAGCATGATACAGAAAACAAAGTCTCAAGAAAGCTTACTCTTGATGTTGGCTGAATCCTACGATTGGATCTCCTGGGTTCAATAACATCAGCAGATCTTGTTCCTGGATTTTCAGAATCTTTAACTTCAGATCTGGAAAATTCGTCCACGGCAGATAAAACCCTTCTTTTCTCCTCCATCTCAGCCACAACAGTAGTGGATTTCTTCTTAGACGATGGAATGCCAGGTACAGACTGCACAGAAGACTCTATCACTGCCGTATCTACTTTTTCAAGAACGCGTGGAAAAGAACCAGTTTCCATTGAGCTATGTTTCTCTTCATTACTAGACGTGGTTACAAGACTGCTTTCTCCCCCATTTAAGACAGACATAGCGGTGACAGGTTTATCCGTCTCCACAGTACTGCTAGCCTGAACATTCTGAGACCTCAAGGCTTTCGGGGCCCTAGTGTTCAGGTTGGTGACTCGTCTTCCTTTTACATCAACTTTTGAAGTATTCCTCCATAACTGGGATGCTTGTGGCATCAAATATTTTGCAAACTTTATAGAGTCACTCCTTTCTGTTGACTTTTCAGGCTTATCTGTGTTGTAGTGTTTGCTTACTTCCATGAATTTTCTTTTCTTTCCAGGCTTAGGAACACCAAATACCACCTTAGATCCATCTTTCTGAAGGCCAGCTCGTCTTACCTTAAGTGCATTGGCGTTTTTATCCTCACCCAGGTTCTTTCCAACAGTAAATGTTTCATACCTTTCTGACAAATTAGGTGGCCCTGACTCCTCAAGCTTCCTTGAATCATCTGCACAAATATTTTTTGACACAGTCCCCGTTCCTTCCTCACCTATTTCTGACTTATTTTTTGAATCTAGTCGGCCTAGTTTTTGTCGTTTCTCATGTGGTGTGTCAACCTAATTGACATCATGGCATATAAAAATCAAAGTTGTATAAAAATGACATCATAATGCAAAAGATCAACCACATGGAATGACGATGTTTAGCCGAGAGGAAAAAGAAAAATAAAGGTTCCCTAAGAAAGGTTAGAGAAAAGACCTCATAGGGTTCCAGGGTAACTCTTTCTTTTGCCCGGGACCATTCTACCCATCGGCCATCCTTCCAGATAAGTGATGGTCGTAGATTCCAAGCTCTAACAATTGAAGAATTGCCACCAGCTGTAAACAGTGATAAGCAAATTTTGAATGGTCAATTCACAGAGAACAAAAAACACAAAAATTGGTAAGTGAATGATTTTTAATATATTCTAGATCTGAATTTCATTAAAAACAGTGAAAAAAGGGATTGCACCTAACATGTAAACAGCTGAATATCGGTAAAAACAGTGACAAAAAAAAGACTAATTGCACTTAACATGATAAATATAGATGGTTATAAAGCACAATTTCGTAACTCAAATGAGTGATGTTATAGATAAACCTTCAGGTAAACAGGATTTTCCATCATGCTCATCCACAGTGAACACAACAGAGAGAGAGAAACATACAAGTCCTGAACCCAGTGATTTAAAAAGCGTTAGGCGCCAAAAGGCACTAAGGTCCAAAAGTGCCCGAGACGTTAGGCGCTCGCCCGAGCGAAACGAGATGCTAAAATATAAAAATATATAATATAATTAATAAATATAATTATTTAAATAAAAAATATGCTATTAAATTAATAATATCGGGTACAAAATCACAATAAATAAATATATTATTAGTATACTGTTAATATACTGTTAACGGTATAGTGAGAAGAGTGTGAGAAGACCGAGGCTACTGAGGCAACGGCAACGATAGCAGGCGACAACCGTAGCTGGAGTGGGAGCGGCGAGCGACAGCGGGAGTGGGAGCGACGAGCGACAATGGGAGCGGTGACAACAGCGGCGAGCAACGATTATTGTAGCGACGAGTAGCGATAGCAGTGGCGAGCAACAGCAGTGGCAGCGGCAGCGGAGAAGAAATCTCGACGGCAAAATCGCGAGTGTTAGGGTTGGGAAGTCGGGGAAATCATGAGAGGAAGCCTGATATCGATGATTTAGTTGGTTCGATTGAACCAACTAAAGCATTGGAGACCAACCAGACCTAAAAGTCTGGTTCGGTCGCCTAGTTTAACCCAAGCGCTTGCCCGAAGCGCCCGGCACCTGGGCTCGGGCGAGTGCCCAAGTGGCGCCTATTTGAAGCGAGGCACCTGGACATGAAGCGAGGCGCTCGGGCCTCGCCTCGCCTTGCCCGAGCGCCTATTGAAATCACTGCCTAAACCCACCTAGATATTATCCCAAGCACACTAAGGGCAACACATTCACATTTAAGCATCTAAATTCAAGTATGATGGCACAATGGACCAACAGAAATCTATGTGAAATGCAAATTCACTATATATAGCATTTGTGATGTCTTCCTTCTTGCAAAGCTGGCCAAAGATTCTATTCACGTCTTATGGTTTACCAAAAAAGGCTTTCATCCACCATGAATCATGATATATTAATCAATTCATGTCTATAAGTCAAAAAAGAACTTTTCGAGTAAAACATTGTTGTTTGTCCTCAACCAACTTATCCTGATGCTATAGAAAGAGCCAGAGGGGCAACCAGATCATGGTTACAAAGGTACATGTCCAAGAAATTCCTCTTCCCAGGCAATCAGCTACTTGACTGGAATCAGACTAATGTGTCCAAGAGATGTAATCCTGACTTCTCCTAATAAAGAAGAGCTTGGGAGTTGGGATTAGGAATGCAATGGTAGTTATTGCAGTTAGTGACACAAATTTACAAATCAATTGATTCCCCACAAATTCTTTTTTTTTCATTTCTTATTATTTCCTGTACATATCATAGATTCCCCTCAAATTCTGCTAAACCCAACGTGCCTGTTTTCTCAGAGTTTGCCTGATAATTGGCTTTGATCATACTGATAGGCTTGGATCCACATTCCTGGTGTGGCTACTAAAGCTGGAAATGGATGTAGGTGGGATAAGAGACTGATGAAGAAGAGGAAAAAGATATCAAGACAGATACATTCACATTGATTAGACCTTACTCCATGATCATCTTTTCAACAAAATCACATACCACATATGTTTCAACGACTTAGTATACCTCTTTTGTACAACTATTCTTCTCTATGTTTTTATCCTATCTTTACATTTTTTTTGGGTTTATTTTGATAGAAACTTCAGTCTAAGGATCCAACCCTGCCCCTTAAGCAGAGGGACACCACTAGCATGTTACACACACTGGGCTGTATCTTGTCAAGCCATACTACATATTTTCTAATAAAAAAATCATTACATTCATGGCATACATGACGCTTACACGTGGACTCAAGCCTACGATCTATCCCTTGTACAACAATGTAATAACTGATCAAATGTCTTAACAAAGACAAGCCATACTACATATTAAGATCAAATAAAACATAGATATATACAAAAATTAGTCAATGCCTTTTTTAACTCACAAGGATTATAAATATCCTCTGGCAGCATAGGCACATGCTCATGCAGAAGCCCAATAAGCAACTGAAGGGTAAAACAGTAAAATTGCAGGAAACGATCTAATCCAT